GGGATGTGCTGCTGTATTTTGAGAGAGCAATTTTACAAAGAGTGGCACACCATGGCCAGGTGCAGGAGAGTGTGTCACTGATATTTTTACAACATTTTGATGTCTTCTGTGATCTTTTACTCAACAGAACCACAGTAACGTATTTGTGCACAATCCTCTTATGAAAGAGTACTATTTATAAAATAAGCAATGGTGAAAATCAGATCTGAAAAAATTCAGGCCTGTACGGGATTCGAACCACTGACCTCTGCGATACTAGTGCAGCGCTCTACCAATTGAGCTAACAAGCCAACATGGAGCAGGTCATCAAATTAGTCCGACATAAACCCGTAAGATGATAAATCAAACCACAGTAACATGGATTTTATTTGTTCTTTATGATAAAGGGAAAAAAAAAATGTTCATAATGGTGTCATCATATATATTTTGTATCTGTCCTCCAATAGATTATCAGTAAGAACCAGTAAGACTTTGTGAATAATTCACCTCATCTTATAACAATTTTTAGGAGTGTTTTCTTCTTCAAGTATTATGATTATTTATTGATTTATATTTTATAGGACAGACAACCATGGCTTCTTGCTTTGCACAAAGTTATTGAAAGGTATTTGATATTGATTTCATCATTGATTTATCTACTTGAAATTTGTTTTTTGGCAATTGAATTAGAATAGAGCAGCCTGCTTGAAGATGGCATTAAAGAACACCAGAGTGAAAATACTTCGTTTGATTTTAAAAATACTGTTGATTTTTCTATGCTTGTAAGTGAACAGACATTTACACAAATGAAACATTTATTAGATGTTGATTGAATTAGAAGTAAAACTCTAAGTTGACAAGGGTGCACTGTTCTTTCCAGTGAAAAGCTTAATATCCCACCAACTTTCTAGATCCAAATATCAATTTTCTAATTCTCCATGCTGTTTGCCAAACATTTCTTAGAATTTTAGATCTTAAAAAGGTGACTTTAAATCAAACAATGTCTCCTAGATGTTGTTTTTTTAGTCACTTCTCATTACCACTCTGCTTGAATTTGTTCTGATATTGTAAAATGATATTCATTTTTGCTAAAAAGGGTTAAACTGGAAGTAAACCTTCTTGTAGACATAGCTAATTCTGTCTCCTGCGGCATGAAGTGACTCTGAGTATTGTTGTTCCTCTGGTTCAGGATGCTAGTCTATCACAGTTTACTCCCATCCTCCCCCCACGTAATAATACTCCATTGGGTTTTACGAGGGGTGGCTGGTACTCATGTGAATCCCTGAGTGGCTTAAGGAGCATTGTGAAAGATGAGTTCAAAAACACTGTTATTGTGCTAGGGTTCAAACCTGGAGGATTCTATCCAGAGTCTGGTGTTGTCTATAAAGGCCACCATGTCTCCCACTCTTGACTATGCTTCTGGCAAGTGAGAATTTGTTTTGTGAAAAAGATTGCCAGTATCAGGAAGAACCAACATACCATTCACTTCTTAATCTCTTTTTAGTCCAGTCAGTCAGTCAGTCAGTCATCAGAGCAATAACATTGATCAAACCCACAGAACTGGCACTTTCCATCTGAAGGATCTATATCTGCTGGAATGCATTCATCATTTTGTTCTCTTTCCCTGTTTAAAAAGTAACTCACTTCAATTTTGTTTGTTCTGTAGATGGAGCAAACGTTCTGAATCTGGAGTGCTTGCTTGTTCAGCTCTCAAAGAACAATACAGACAAACAATCCTTTTTGGAGCAGAAGCCAGTTCTGACAACCCACCTTATTGCTCCAATGGGGACAAGCGGCAAAAACTATCAAAGCCATCACCTTTTTATTGTCTAGTTGTACTACTTCAAGGGTCCAAGGATGTGGTAAGAGAGAGAATGGAAAAAAGGCAAGAACACTTTATGCCATTAAGTTTACTTGACTCTCAGTTTGAAACACTGGAGGAACCTGTCACTTGTGATGAGTACTCTGCTCTTCACGTCTCAGTTGATCAAACCGTGGAAGAAATAATTAATGATATTTTAAGAACTTTGAAGGCTAAATGTGGTGTAAAAGTATCAATACACAGTACTGTATAAGTCAAAATTAGAAAATTTTTATTAATTTTTGTAACAAAATAAATTTTGTAAAATGTATTGAAGTAGTTAGATTTCAGAAAGAGATGAGCTTTAAATTTTAATTTTTAACTCAACAATTTAAAAAATATTTTGGACATATCCCATTAATACCTTTATTCCAAAATCAACAAATTTTATTATTGTTTTATATTTATGCTTATTAGCCATCTTTGCCATGATAAGGATCTTTTGAATTTGAAACAAGGCATTCACCGTTATGTGACAAGAACATGAAAGGATAGATGTATCTGTCATCATCTTGAGATAAGGTGTACTTACAACACTGTTCCCCAGAGAAGAATCACAGGGTGCATGATGGCTCCAGTCTCCCAAATCTTGGTTTGCAAGTGCTTTACAGCTTTCATAAATGCAAATTTATACAAGTTTCCCAGATGCAAAAGATAGTTGTCTGTCACAATGGGGGTCTGCCAGAGTGCAGTCTTTGTTCCATGTTTATTTTTTAAATTTAGAATCAGGCAATTTTTCCCAAAAAATTATATACATATTACATAAATCCAATTGATTGCAGTAATGTTGTCATAGAAAAAAGCAAAAAGAAAAAAGTGAAATAGGAACTAGCTACATTAATTGGCATAGAGTTTTGCTGTGACAATGTGCCTGGGAGCTGGACAGTTCTCATAGAATTTCTACTAAAAAATTTGTGGTCAAACTTCTTGAGGGTATGAGATATTTGTTGACTATAATGGCAAGCGATCCTAATAATTATGTAAATTTTGTAGTTGACAAAATATCTGAACTTGGGCTTACCATCAAATCACTGTCATAGTGACACTTCAAATGTTTTATTTTCTTTGTGTACACAAGCATGAAAAATTAATCCACTTAAGGTGGCTGAACACAGTTTTTGTGCGCGCTTTTGGTGATGCAATTCAGTATGCGCACAGGGATTGCAAAAAACAAACATGCCGTCAGTAGCGCAGTCATTTTATTTACTCAACATGTACCTGCACTATCTGTGCTATATTTTTTTCTATAGTTGGCACAGTGTATTGAAGGCTTTAATCTTTTATTACAAAGATATGTTAGAAAAGTTAACAGTGCAAAGAACCCAGCAATTCTCAGCTTTTTCGTCATTACTGAAAGAACCCAGTTAAATGCAACGCATGCGTAGTAAGTAAAAAAGTTGTGATTGTATGGAAAATTGCTTTCTCGGAAATATGCCTATTTCTTGAGAACCACTCATTAGAATTTCACGAAATTTGGCACGAAAATACTTTAGGAAATAAGTAACTGGAGTATTGAAAAAAATTGAAA